AAAAATAGAATTTTCCTGCAAAAAAACATCATGGTTTGAAGTTACGTCTAAATTACCCAACCGTGTCCCCTCCATTAAATCAGTCGAAACGAAAAAAAAAGGGGAAAATCCTAATAAATGTCGATCCGGCACACACACCTCGACGAAATTTCTTTGCTGAATTATGTATAAGATCGGCTCAATGGATGACAAATAATGGAACGAGAATTTGCATTCGGAAGCCGCAATACATTTGCAGGCCCTTGTATTGTTAAGAACGGACATGAACAAATTCGAGGGCTTCTATTCGTATTTTACTCAGAATTAATTATGTAGGGACTGAAACTGAAAGTATTATTTTAAACGGGTGAATGGAAGGAAACCAGTCTTGCACAATTTATCAACTTGCGAACGAATATCAAATATATCATTCCAAAATAAAACTTTCAGACGAAATGTATGGTCCTATTGTTGATCGGAACTGAGAAAAGTATCTTCTTACAGAAATTTTTATTAATTTCGACGCAAATGTTCCAATAAAAGTATTATATTTCTTTGTAATACAGGGTGCTGCATTTTGGATGTCCGGATAGGGAATCTCCGAAACTAAGAGGTTAGATAAAACGAGTAATACATTCTTGGGCTCATTTTTTGAGAAAATAATATTGGTTAAAACCGCATCCCGCTATCGTCTTTTGTTTTTGACTTACAGACAAAAGTTGACATTTTGGCGAAATCTAAAAAAAATCATATCTTCGTTATTATAGAAGATACGGATATGAAATAAAGACATTACATAGGCACTTTTTTACGTAGAATTTAATAATGTAGTTAACAATTTTTTTCAGTTATTGGTTTAGCCGTGATAAGATAAACTTGTATTTTTTTAAATGGAAATCATAGGTGGCTTTGGCAATTTTGAAAAGCTTATTTTTTTCTGATCTAAAAATATATATTTGTAACAATATTTTTTTATAATTATACTTAAAAAATGAAATACATATTTTGTTTTATAATAAGTTGGCCATGGAAAAACTATTTCACTCCAAATGTGTAAATAATAATCAATTTGAGTTTTGTGAACTATAAAATAGATGAAAAAATAGATAAAATTATAAAAATTTAAAAAATACGATACTTTATTAAATATTGAACAATGTGTATGTGAGCGCCTCAGAACAAAATTAATACACATTTTTAAAAAATCCAAAAATAGGAAAAACAAATGTGTCAACAGTCAACACAATTAGAAAAAACATTTTTTTGGTGATCTAACGGAGGTAGGATAACGTTCCACATGGACGGAATTTGGGTATTTGAATAGCTATATTGTCATTTTTCTGTCATATAAAATATATTTTATTGAAGAATAAAAGCGGCTTTTTTACAACACTCTATGTATCACTGGTAATGTTAGCTTGTTTAAAAACAAAGAAATGTTATTAGTCGCCAATAAGTTGATTTAAGATTTATTTTGCATTTTTTTCATTACTTTGTACTTAGAAAACTCTTTTATTAGTGACACTGGTTGAATAATATTAGTTTAAATCCTTTTAGTTGAAGATGCAACATTTTTTTATGGGCAACTGCGAACAAAAATCAAAGATAACTTTTGCTAAAAATGTATTATAATAATTTGTTACAAATATGTATATATTTTTTAGATTAGAAATAAACAAGCTTTTTAAAAATGACATAGCCATCTATGATTCCCATTTAAAAAAAATAAAAGTTTATTTTATTACGGCTAAACAAACAACTGAAAAAAAATGTTAACTACATTATTAAATTCTACGTAAAAAAATGCCTATATAATGTCTTTATTTCAAATCTGTGTCTTCTATAATAACGAAGATATGATTTTTTTTAGATTTCGCCAAAAAGGCAATTTTTGCCTATTAGTCGAAAACAAAAGACGATAGCGGGATGCGGTTTTAACCAATATTATTTTCTCAAAAAATGAGCCCCAGAATGTATTACTCGTTTTTGGCTAAACCTCTTAGTTTCGGAGATTCTCTATTCGGACATCCAAAATGCAGCACCCTGTACAATGATGATAATGTTACGAAATGTCTGCTTCCAATTTCAAGTATTGTAATTAAAAATATAAATATTTTTCTATTTAGGTAAAAATAACCAAATTTAGTTCTGTGAATAGTATTGTAGTTATCATATTATCAACAATATCGAAATTAGGAAAATTATAATTTATCTTTGGCTAGTTTTTAACTGCAACCAACATAAAATGGATTATAAATATTTATTAATTTATGTTAAATCCCGTTACGGTTAATTTAACTGTGAATATGTTCTTTCGTGCAAAAAGCAACTTTTAATGTCATTTCCCTGTTTTGTAAATCTAGAATATAATCTAAGAGCGGGAGTTCATGTTTGCAGAAAATTAGATGATGGTGTTAAGTTTAAATTACACACAAGCACATAGTTTGAAGGCGTGTGTAGCTTAATCTTGATATATAAATCTGAATTTGTAACAAAAGGAATTATTAACAGGCTCTAAGAAAAAAATCGTGTTCAACTATGCCAAACAACACGATAAAAATTTGTGAGTTGGTCAGCACGAAATTTCATAATTACAACAATAAATACAAGTGTTGGCAAGTAATCAGCGATTCAGCTTTCTGGTAACGATGCTCTGGCATTGATTACAAAGAAAGTGCGAGAAAGTAGGAAAAATCCAAGGAATTGATTAAAGGCAAACAGAAATTTCTTATTGAATCACGTCCGAGTTATTGTTTCAAGGATAGGTCTCGGTCCGGGTTAATTATCCCAGAGGGTCCTAGGGGAGATGAACTGTGTATTAAGATGTACGGCGGAGGTGAGCAGGTACGGCGTCTTAATCGATGTTCAATAATAACATTACACCAACTATTGGAATAGCGCAAGCAATTTCGGCACGCTCACAGAGCCATTAAGGGACGGTAGCTTCATCAATAATTTTTTATTTCAAAAATTCAAAACTTACACCAAAGGCAACATACCACTGTAAATAGGGTAATGCGCTCTAATAAAATAAGCTCAAGTCTGCTTTTTATTTAATAACAAATTAGTGAAATGATTGGTTGCAGCCACTTTGTTGTTATATGGTTACGTTTTTCTATTGAAGTGTTATCAAAATTTTGACATTTATGGCTTTTGTACAGATAGTGCAAAAAAGCGCTAATTGTTTTTTTTTATAATGTAATTTGGCCTGTTAGTAAATGCCAGTTTTTTGATGTTGTCTTTGTCACAATTCACAATTTCATAATTGTCAGGCATCTTCCAAACTTCTATGAAGATTTCTCATGTTCTCCCATTTCGTTTTTAACACAGACTATGACACTGCACTGGCAAGATCATCAAATATGACATTTCTTTTGATAGTTTTCTAAGTACAAAATTTGTTATAAAAAAGTATAAAAGTTATATCAATAAAATTTTTCAAATTCTTTTTTGTTTTTGAGTTTTGCAATTTTTTTCTAATACCAATCTGCTATAAAAACTTTTTTTTACAAGGGCTTTGAACTAAAGATTCAGTTTTTATCAAAAAATATTTATAATTATTATTTTGTGAAGGGAAATGATTTTTAAAAAACGCTTGGTTCCATACTTTTTATTCACGTTGTATGATTAAATTTGCTTCTTGTCACTTTTGTTTAAAAAAAACGTACTTAACTTTCTATACCTAGGTACTAAGTTTTTAACTAAAATCGAACAGTCATCAATCTGTTGATGTCTTATTCGGTTTCCAATTATTATTAAGCTCTGGTCGCTGACTGCCAAGTGAATCCTCTCCCGATTTAATAAAAACTCCTTATGACAGAATGACAGTTCGGTTTCCGGTGTCTCGGCCCAATATATAACAGATATGTACTAGTAATATGTATGGTAATGCAATTAGGACGCCATTGTCGCAATCGGATCCTAGTTTTAAAACTATGATAAATAATTCACGGCAACATGGCGCGACTTTGTCAACTTGTCGCATCCATCAAAACAGTCCCGAGTTTGCATAATAGCCGCCATAATACCTCTCTTGAACTCTTGAATTATCATAAATAATTGCTTGGATGAGATGTTAATATACAAAACTTACAGGGGAAAAATTCTAGTTTAATTCGAACTTGTAATATAAAGAATAAGCCCGATTCGAGATGGTGGAAAATAAAAGCACGAGCACATATTTCTTGAGGGAATTCGGCAAGGGTCAGATAAAGTCTTTATGTTTCAATTCATCGACCGTTTCGGTTTGATAAAAACGCATCGGCAATTTTCCTTCAAATTAAACACGGATTGGGATATCTCACGACACACAAACGTATTACTTTTTTTTTGTCTACCTTGAAATAATGAAACTCGAAGAAATGCGTTGAAAGAATAAAAATTGAAGTGGTATTAAGACGGCTGAGGTCTCGAAATTGCTTGATACAATTTACTCGTTTCATTATTGCTCTAATTTGACATTCCGACTTGCTAAGAGCAAAAATGTCACTCAAACAGGACACCAATTATTCAACAATGCGACGCAAATCAACAACGTATGCCGCAAATGAGCCCCAATTTCATTTTTAATCCAATAAGCGCGACGCTTTTATACCTTTGAAGCGACATTTTCAAAGACATTTTTCAAGGCTTTGTCACAGACTTATTGATTTTGTAATAACAATTTTGTAATGTGTACAAAAGCGTTCATAACCAAGTAATGTAACAAGTGCGAAATGAATTATGAATGGCACAATAGGACGAAATAACTTAAAATTTATTAAAACGGTTGTGAATCATGATTGGATTATCACAGCGGACAAATCCGTGCAATATTTCATACAAAATCTCTATTTCCAACTCGAAAGTATATAAATATATCTGTTATCCATCCTCGCGTCATCATTTATTTGTTTAGTAAACAATTTGTGTCAGCATTACATTTTCCTTTCAGTGAGTGAAAAAGATACATTTGTTTCATTATAATTTTATAAATAATAAAAGCAGTTACAAAAGAAGGACGGGGAAAATAAAATTGTACAATCACTGAACAATTTATTTAGCTCAAAGCAGCAAATTTTTGTTAATTAACTGCAATAATTGATACAGGCGTGTTTCAAAAGTTCTCATTAAACTTTAAGCGTCTGGATTTTTTGTGATTTTGCAATTGCTACAAGGGAATCTGCAAAAAATTGAAATATTTAAAGCCGGTAAGTAAAATAGGGTTTAGAGCTTTAGTTTTGGAGCTTTAGCTCGGCTTATGCACAACTCTTACCTATAAGCTTGGAGGAAAGTTTCTTCGAGCGTCTAAACCTCGCCGACGTCTCCAGTTCGTACCTAACATCGATAAAATTCCTCCGAAGAATTTTTTTTACGATTTGGGGGACCCAGCGCTTTTTAAATTTTTCCGAGGTCAAGACTTTTTCTAACTGAGCCAGAAAGTCGGCCATTTTTTCCAATTTCCGGGCATGACTGACCATTTGTAAGCACTGAATGTCACTTACAGCGAGTCCTACCATTAGGTTCATTAAAACAATGCTTGTGAGGATTATAAATAAGAGAAAAATGACTCTCGAGGAGGGTCTTTCGAGTCCAGTGAACAAGTCCGAATAGTCGAATTCTCCCATCATCATGACTGTTGTCTTGACGAGGGCGCGCCAAGGGTCGTTGAATTCTCTACAGTTTGCAAACTCGATCGAAAAACTTAGAGAGAAACCCACCACCAGGCACAGGAATGCCAACAAAACCTGGAATAGGAGTTGGGAGAACTGCCACACAACTCATTTAAATTACCCTAATAACGTTCTGTAAGACGGCGGAAAACATGAGTGCATAATATCCGTACGTTGGAAGTCTGCCAATTAACAACATTAATTCTGTCCATGACAGTAGAGTCGCTATGCTGGTTACGTGCAACACCCAATTTGGAGTAGCTGAAAGAAGGCAATGTGACACGCGAGCCACAAGAGGGCCACAAGATGGTTGGTTTATTAAGACGTAGCACCAAGAGTTAAACAAATGTTACGACAAGTGAATTTGACTTTAATGGCAAAAGTTTTTGTAAATTACTTTGAAATGAATTGCATTAGAATGAACATACTGTTCAGAATTTAATATTACATTTTTATATTTAATAAAAAAATCTTTTTTCAGAACCAAAATTCAGATTTTTTTATTCCGAATTTTTATATACAGAGTGTCCCAGCGAGTTGAAAAAGTCCAATAAAAGTGATCTTTAAATGATAAAATTATATAGGACATTGATAGATACTAATCTAGTTCGTCGCCTGAAATTATTTTCAACTATACAGCGTGTTTTTTTTAAATAAAACTCCATATGTTTTTTAACATTTTTAGATGTAAATTTTTATGACAATGTTTTTAAGCTTAACTTTTATTGGTCGATTTTGCTTAGTTTTAAAAATAAGACGGTTTTTTTACACAAAAACTAAGACATCTAGAAATATTTTTTTCTACCGCAAAGAAGAAGGTGTTTATATGTAATTAAAAACTAAAAAAATATTTAAAAATACTATTGCTTCAGTAGCCAAAAAGTGCACAGTTGCAAGAGATGGAAGAAATATCACTTAATGATCACATTTGTGTCAAACTAAATCCATTTTCTTAATTTTTACAATAAAATAATTAAAATTTCAGTATTTATAAGGACTTTTACAATCTCTGGATAAATCAAGGGATAACTGATCCGTGGTGGAATTACTATGGTTGTCATAATATCAACAATGCTCAGAGATTGATAGGCATTGTTACTACAGTTAATATTGAATGTTAAATATCTTTCATTTATCAATTCTAGACATTAAAAGTGTATTTTTTTAGGTAGACAATTTATCAATCTATTAGATGCAAAAAAAAATAGGCTGTTCAATTAAAATTTTTTAATTTGTTTAATTTTTCACAAACTTCTTAATTTATTAATCTTTACAAATGCAAAACACAAAAAAATTGTTACAGCCTTAAATTCTGTACTCTGTTCTTTGGAGAAGTGAGAAAAAATTTGTTCTAGCTAGTTTTTGTGTAAAAAAAAACCGCCTTATTTCTCAAACTTGCGAAATCGACTAATAAAAGTTTAGCATAAAAACATTGTTTTAAAAGCAAAAAACAAACGGTGTTTCATTTTAATAAAAGTTTGTGTCGTAACTTATTTTTGGAACATGCTGTTTGCTTGAAAGTAATTTTAGGTGATGCTCTAGATTAGTATCTATCAATGTCCTATACAATTTTTTTATTTTACTATTTAAAGATTATTCATGGACTTTTTCAACTCGCTGGTACACCCTGTATATATGATTACAAAGAGATTTTTAAATACATAACGTAATAGTCTAAAATACGGTACAAAATTTGAAAACAATGTTTTAATATTAACTGTTACTCTCCTACTGGCAAGAAGTTTTTATTTAATAATTAGAATTTTTAATTTTAAATTTATATATCCAAGTCGTATATACTCGAATTATCAAATTTGAGTAAGTATATGAGTTATGAGTCCAGTTTGAAAATAAATTTGTGGACTTTAATTTGTTTATTTGAAATCGCAGTGTTAGCACATGCCGTCTCATAAATCCCATTTTTGTTCCACTTTCCCGTGCAATAATTTCCAAAAATCCCACTCACCCAGTTCATTCTCTCTATTCTCGTCACGCATTCCTGCGATTGCTACAATTAAAGAGAGCGATGTGCAGGCGAGATTCAACCACATTTCGTATTTCCTGAAGTGATTCCCGTGCGTCAGACAGCACTGCAACAGTCAACTATAAATCAAACCTCTTCGTTATTTTTTCATCCCAAATTAATTGCCCCAAAATGCTCTATTAATTAAAACTAAAGGAGCGGGAACAAGCCGCATCGATCCCTAATAGAGCTCCCAACTTGATTCATTCGATTAAAACATGATTACGTGAATCCTTCGGGACCTAGTCTTACGAATTATCGGCCGTATAACGCAAAATACCTCTAATACACCGTGGCCCAAAAGGCACGCGCCGCTCCAGATCGATATCCACCTCGAAGCCGTCATCAACACGTCAAGATTCGGGTAATCGCGACTCAACATCACATACACGGAGAACGAAAGCACGAAAAGTACATAAGCGAAGATCCACAAATAGAAGAAATAGCACATTCTCGACCACTTTATTGACAGGTACAGCTCTGCAAAAGGAAAATATTGGAGGAAAGTGACAAGTGACACTCTCACCGATCACCGGGTGTTGCAACACGGAAGTTTTCTCCTCTTCGCAGGCTGAAACAAGGAGGCGTGAAATGACGGACATTTGACGACCACTTCGAGGAGGCGCCAGAACCCCAAAATCTAAATAAAAAATAATTTCTTTATTCGACAAATTCTCAACTTACCAACAAAGTACTTGTTCTTTTCCCCTTTTTCGAGTATCACACTCGAGTCCAAAACTTCGGTCAAAAACTCGACCGGTTTTGTCATGTTTTCAAAAATCGCCTCCATTACACTCTCCCCTTGGAGATCAACTCGGCTTAAATCAGCCCTTTTTGCGATTAGCATCTTCAAACAGCGTTTATGGTCCTGTTGGGCAGCTAGGAAAGCAGGTGTTCTGCCGTTAATATCCTCGCCATCGATCATTTCCTCACTTCTCTTATCTCCGAGGAGCAGAGCCAGGATTGTGTCATCCCCTTTCTCAGCCACGACGTGGAGTAAATTATTGTTACGAACATCAGCGCCGGCTTTGAGAAGCCGCTCCACTAGGTGTTTTTTACCGTAGAAGACAGCACTGTACAACGGAGTATCATTGCAAACATTGACGTCCGCTCCATGCGCGATTAAAAGCTCAACAATTTCTTCGAAGGTTTCGTCATTTTTAATGCACTCTGCGAAGATGATTGGAGTTCGGCCGTTGGAGTCGGTGACGTTGGGGTTAGTCCCCGCCTGAAGAAGATGCCTGGCGAGGGAAACATCCCCGGAAGTGACGGCTCGATGCAGCGGAGAAATCGATGAGGCCATAATGAAAACACGACCACTTCATCGAGGAACAAGGTAATAAATGTGAATTCGAGCCCGACCGCAGACCATTCAAGATTAATAAACTCTTATCGCGCCTAAACCGCTTCCCTTATGGTCAATATGAGCTTGTTTAGGATGCTTATCGCTAAATTTAAAACATTTATTTACATTTTTATGGAGCGCTCCCTGAAAGATAGCGGCTTTTGCGCACTTGCCGACGATCAAAAACTCATCAAGCTTTTATACACATCGGAAAATGATCAATCATCAGAGGAAAATTAAAAGATGCGATTCGGCAAAAGGTCATTGGGATGCCGGCAAGTGGAAGAAACGGCAGGAAGTCGATGGGGATTTAATTATGAATGCTACAGACAATGATTTTATTCAAAGGAATGCAATGAAAGAAATCGGAATTTCGCTTTTCGGGGTAAATTTTTCAAAGTTAAGAAGCTTAAAAAATATTGAAAGAAGTGAAATAAATTTCATACATAGAAATTTACAATAATAAAGGAATTAATCAAAACTAAGAAAAAGCAGAGAATATATAAAATCACATTTTATTTCATTTTTAAAATATGACTTTAACATGACACACTTTTCAATAATAGCTATCCACTACGTGTATAATAAACAAGTGATTTTTTTATTTAGTGGAAGAATATTGAGTCCACAATCACAACTGTGACATAGTGAGAGAATTTTGATTTGTTTTATTCACTTATTATTAAGAATACACTTTAAATTTGCAGTGAGTATATAAATTTGGAAAAAGTACAAACGAAAAATAAAGCATTTGAATGCTTTCTTAATGATGTATTTTTGGGGTCAGGTTGTTTAAATTTAGATTTTCGTTTATAAAGTCAGAATCGCCTGGTGATTTTCGTTTTGGTTATGCTCAATTCGATTTAAGGAATGTTGTTCAATGGAGCATCCTGCTTAAATCCATATAGATTTTGCACGTCTGGCGAATTTTTCCGGAGGCCTTTCCGGTATGATTTCTATTAGAAGAAAAGGTGCAGGTACGCCGTAAATCCGGTCGTCCTTTTGGTGTCTCTCGACGAAAGTGTAGTTTATATGCAAATAAGCTCAAAGTTTCTAGAGGCCATTAAGGGCCTTCTAAAATCAAAAGTTATTTAAATATTTATATAAATAGGTCCTAGGTCTCGAATCCGGATTTGTGGTCAGCGCAAATATGAAATTCTTGATGCAAATCCGGAGTTACAATCAATTAAATATTATAGAGTTGGCAAGTTGGAAAGGGTTGTTTTATCTCGTGTGCAATACATTAAGCAAACCGCAAAGTTGCCTAACTAGACGACACGGACGGGGATTTTTCGTTCCTGTGGGAGATGTATATACAATGCGGCTGAAATTTAATCCTTACGAGCATTAGACGAGCCAGAAAGGCGGGCAATACCCAGATTTAGGTAAATAGTTAATTTTACAAAGGCGCTATCAAGGTCTGCCGCTTGAAGCGCTAGTTTCTCCTTTGGACCTCGGGCCATTGATGCACCAGAGATAGACGGCATTGTTAACTGCGATTACCCCTGGGCTTCAATTGTTGATGTCCGCATTGTTACTGAAATAAGATCTTAGACTGGTACTCGAGAACGACGCACAAAAGGCAGGCCAAATCCTCAAAGCGAGATTTATCCTGAGAAAAACTAGGATTAATTGCTTACCGTCAAGAAACGGCACATTTTGACACTGTTTAAACAATAAATAAAACACATTTTTAAACCACTATATTTCTTATCCATGTTTTGAAAAAACTTAGAAATATCTAACATTTCTAACAGCACATCTAGCTAAAAAATGAACTGGAATCTTTTAGCAATTTAATCTTTAAAATCTCTTTACTTTGAACTTTTATAATTTAATATTTTTAACCACAAAAACTCATTAATATTTTTTGAGTAGCAAAGGAGGTGAAAAATGTTGTAGGACGGTGGAATTTTTCCTTCATTTTAATTAATAAACTTCTGGTAAAAATTTAACGATTAGCAAATTCGGTTTATATCTCCCCTTATCGATTCCTTTATAGCCTTCATTATCAGCTCCCGTCTTATTTGGGTGTTTGTGTTGATGTTCCTCCGGGCATCCGTATCTCCTTCTCCCGGTGCAATTTGGAATTATGCTGCGACGTCTTAATTGTGCGCCGCTGCAACATAATTGCCGGATTACCCCGGATTGCTCGATAATTATTCATTGTGAAGTTTCAAAGCTCTCAAGTCTCCTGGTGGCCGATTTTAAACAAACACTCGAACTTTTTCATTGCTGTTTCTTCCCCCAACGAGCTTTCGGATTTTACTACTTAAATCCCTCCATAAACTTTTAATTAATACTCCAGTCTTGCTTCCAACACGACTGATTTTATTTTACACGAAATATTTTTATGCAACTATAACTCGCGCAGAATAATCGAGTCGAACAACTTGCTTCAACTTTATTGACGATCGTACAATTCCCTAACTTTGACTACCAAGAGAATTGCTTGTATTTTCATTATGGTAAGAAGTGTGTGCCGGAGTCGACGGGGGAGATGGACGCGAGTGAAAACTTCAGAATTATTACAAGAGAAAATTTTCATATTTTATCCATTGCGACCCCTCTTTTGAATAATTTAAATAAATGAATTTGCACATAAGGGCTCCGTAATTCGTTTTAATTAAAATTCGAATTACATTAATTCCATTTCAATGTAAACAAAACAAAATCAATCAAAATTATTATATTATGCTCTTGTTTGATCTCTAGCAAACATAATTTTGTTTAAATTGGATTTATTCATTATTCACTGGCATTAAACCAGACCATGCAAATGTGTCACATTTATAAACAACAAAAAACAAGTCAACGCAGATTATCCAAAAACATAAAGCTTAAGGGCTCTCACAATGATCAACAAATTTTCCAATCTCTGGCTTTGTTTTCAATTATTGTTTTAGAAAAACATAATTGTTTTTTTGCTTAGCTTTTTATTAAAACATTTAAAGAAGAATTATTAATATTTGTAAATGTAAGAATTTTTCGTTTTTTGTTTTATTCGTCTTAGTGTGTGGTTCTTGTTCCTCGTACTTGAAATAATGCATTATTTATATGTTTTATTCGTACTAATGTGGCATTAAGATGTCAGAAAGCTTTTAAGGAATAAAATCTGCTGTGCATGCAAATAAAGCCGTGTTTAGATCAGGCGTCGTCGCCTCAATGCGGCCCTGCTTTCTAGCAAAGTTCAGCGACAAGTAGAGTTTGATAAATCAACGCAAAGTTGCACTTTAAACATAAAGTAACCGATTTAAAAAGTTTTTATTGCGTTTATAAATCAAGATTCGGTTGTCGTCTGAGACAAATCGAATCGTCCAGATGCAACGGAGCAAAAATCGATCTAATCCTGTTCACTTTTTATTTCTTATATTGAATTATTGTCATCCATCAGCCGAACGTCGCTGATCGATACTGCAATTATGTTAAAGCCGAGGGAAGAATTCAAATTATTCAGAGTTCAGAACTGGAGATAATCGGTTTAAAACGAGGGAATGCGGATATGAAATTTTTGATTTTAATCGGGAATTTGTAAATCGTCAAAGTTGGGTGTTGCGAGTGTGTTTTATTAATGGGAAATACGTTTTATTACCTTACAGGGATGACTGCACGGCTTTGGTCAGCAGGAAATTATCAGAAACCTCAGTGGAACAAAGTTGGAACTTTCCCACACAGCTTGTACAAATAAGCTCTGCTACAAAAGACGACATAATTAATATGTTGTAACTAAATCCTTTTTATTTCAGATAAACTTAAGTACATGTCCTATTATATTCGATTTAATTAAATTACAAATGTCACAAAACGAGATCAGATATATGATTTAGGAAAATTGAAGAACAGAAAAAAGCAACTTAATGTTCATGGTTGCGATATGGTTTCTCTCTAGATCCCATTTGATCCGTGCATAAATTCTTATATAAAACTACCCTCGGGCTTACCTTATACATTTTCATTATACAAAATATTTTTCTACGTCTATAAAACCGTGAAACGAATAACAATTCCGGTTTAGGCCAATCACGAATTTCGTATGCAAGTTCGAACATGCACAGTGTTGATTTTAATATCGATAGAATGCCTTTCAATTGAGCAATCTGCATAAATACATACAGATTACGCCGCTGCAATTTGATGTTGTTTCACAATTCTTAGATTTAGAGCGTTTTCATCATTTCTGTAGCTTCATATATTCACCATCCCTGGTTAATCAAAAACCATGATTTCAAATACCAACAATACTTGATTTACTAATTATCGAAATGCAACAAATGAGAAATAATTATTTGTATAACAAGAAAGAAAAGACTTTTTCTTGCAGTGTAATACGTATAATTTTTCCTACGATCTAGCAAAAAACTTCAAAAAAATTTTTTTTTGATATTCCAGTTTTGCCATTACATCTAGCAGCATTTTTTTGTTTCTTTTTGTACCTGACCACTTTTCTTTCTGAAAGTACGGTGGAAAAGCTTACTTGCTGTTAAAAATTGATTAAAACTGCTTTCTATTAATAGACTACAATGTGAAAATAAATTAATATTTAATTGTTACCATTTTGTGCAGCTTTAAAAATAGCTATTTACGGTATTAGACCGGTAGCAACATTTTAATGACCTTGCCAATACGTTACCGCTTGAGCCGTATGTTTGGCAATGCCGTAAAAATGCTACCGGTCGTATATTGTACAAGTTTTTTTAGTATACTGTACACTTCCAAATTAAACAAAAATTCAGTAAAACAAAAATTTAACTAGCGTTTACATAGTTACAAACGGGTCACGTGGACAGGCTACCGGCCAGTAGATAGTCCGGTAGTAGACTACTAGGTAATTTTTTTACCGGACTCGTTTGTAACTATGTAAACGCAAGTTACCAATTTAGTATCCTAAAAAGATTTTTTTCTATTTCGGTTTTAGAATAAGTCTATTCCAGCACCCAAATGACGTCATTTGAGTGCTG